ATAAATGCAAAAATGCCAAAATACATTTTTTTTTTTTGCCCTGGCTGGTTATGCTTAGCGGTTTGAGCATCGTCAGCCTGTGGACCAGAGAGTCCCAAGTTCGGTTCCCGTAGGGGCACATACCAAAAAAGAAAAAAATTTTTTTCTTTATTGATTTTAGAGAGAGAGGAAGGGAGAGGAAGAGAGAGAGAGAAACAATTGATGAGAGAACATCGATTGGCCACCTCCTGCATGCTCCACACTGGGGATTTGGTCAACAACCTGGGCATGGGACCTGACCGGGAATCAAACCGGTGACCTCTTGGTGCATGGGTCAACGCTCAACCACAGAGCCATACCAGCTGGGCTCGAGGACATTTTTCCATTTATCTTCAGTTAGAGTGGGAGGGAGAGAGAGAGGGAAACATTAACATGAGAGAGACACATCAACTGGTTGCCTCCTGCACAACCCCGACCAGGTATGTGCCCTTGACCGGAATGGATCTGGGATTCCTTGGTCCTCGGCTCAGTGCTCTAATCGCTGAGCCAAACGGGCCAGGGCTGGGTCACATTTTGATGCCTTAATGGCAATGGAGGTAGAAGCAAAATTTATAATGTGGGAAGTTCTCTAATCGTAGGAAGATTGTCAAAAGATGCTAGATAGCCAAAAAGATAAATGAGGACTATATATACTACTATGGAGTTGTTATCTGGACTTAATTGCTAAAATATAATTTACAAAAAGTTGAGAAACGGATTCTTGTACCAATGAAAATTAACATGTGTCAAAGATTTTATTCAACTCGTTAATTAATAACCGATCAGTAAGATGTTAAAACTTGTTCAAGTAAGAATTACAGTGACAGTTATTTACATTCTCTTTTCAGTGGAGTCTACTAGAGAAACTTCATTTGATTTGCCATGTACAAGGAATAATTAGCATAGTTATTTTTGTTGTTGTTTTGTTTTTTTTGCAAATTAACTCTACCCCTACACAGTTGTCAAGTAGCTTCATCAGTAGAAAGTCAGTCAAAGTTGCACACCTTTATAGAACTAGGAAACCCTACCCACCCCTGGGTTTATTAAACAATGTCCACACTCCACTGAAAGGGCACCTGATACTCTCTTTTGCCTGTTTTGAAGTATTGAGATGTTGTTCTTAACACAATGTTACGTGGAAAAAAAATAAAATGGAGAAAAGTATGTATAATACCTTTGACTTAAGAAAGGAGAAATAGCCTGGCTGGTGTGGCTCAGTGGATTGAGCATCAGCCCATGGACTGAATGGTCCTGGTTCGATTTCTGGTCAGGGCACAAGCCTGGGTTTCAGGCTCCATCCCGTGTGGGGGGCGTGCAGGAGGCAGCGGATTGATGTATCTCTCTCATTGATGTTTCTATCTCTCTTTCCCTTCCTCACTCTCTAAAAAAAAATCAATAAAAAATATATACTTTTTAAATAAAGAAGGGATACCAATATATATTTTCTTATTTTTTTAAGTGAAACAAAAAAGCATAAATTGTTTAAATGATTACCTACCAGCAAGAAAGAAAGAGAATAGTATAGAGAAGACAGAACTATTGGTTAGGCTTTTTTTTTTTTTTTAGAATGGTTTTATTGATTTTTTTTTTTTTTTAAATCCTCACCCGAGGACATTTTTCCATTTTTTTGTTCAGATAGAGTAAGAGGGAAAGAGAGAGAGAAACATCGATGTGAAAGGGACACATCGAGTGGCTGCCACCCACACAACCCAACCAGGGCCACCCACACAACCCAACCAGGGCCGGGGACAAACTGCAATCAAGGTACATGCCCTTAGTGGGAACCGAACCTGGGTCTCTGTGGACCATAGGTCGAGGCTCTAACCGCTGAACCTAACCGGCCAGGGCGGTTTTATTGATTTTTTTTTTTTTTTTTTATCCTCACCCGAGGACATTTTTTTGTTTTTGTTCAGATAGAGTGGGAGGAAGGGAGAGGAAGAGAGAGAGAGAGAAACATCGTCGTGAAAGGGACACATCGAGTGGTTGCCACCCACATGACCCAACCAGGGCTGGGACAAACTGCAACAGAACCTTAGCGGGAACCTTAGGGGTTCCTTAGCGGGAACCGAACCTGGGTCACTCTGGACCGCAGGCCGATGCTCTAACAGCTGAGCCAAACCAGCCAGGGCTTATTGATTTTTTAGAGAGAGAGAAAGGAAGGGAAAAGAGAGAAACATCAATGTGATAGCGCAACATGGATCAGTTGCCTCCTGCACACTCCCTACTGGGGATCGAGCCCACAACCCAGGCATGTGCCCTGACCATCAACCAAACCAGCAACCTCTCAGTGCAGGGGAGAACACCCAAATAACTGAGCCGCACTGGCCAGTGCTAGGCTTCTTGAATATACTTAATTTTGTTAATTTGGCTTTGGATCCATATAAATGTTTTACATAATTATAAAAACAAAACTACATACATTTAAAAAGCATCCCTAAAATCAGAAGTAAAATGAAACAAATGAATCTAACTGTGTACATAGGTGGTGGCATAATGATAGAGGCAATTATTCCAGGTGACTTTAAAACAGTGATTGACTTACATCTTTAGTGGGATATCGCCTAAAATTTGGGGGGAGTATCTGTTCCCCACTAAAATCTTTATTTATTTATTTATTTATTTATATCCTCACCTGAGGACATTTTTCCATTTTTTGTTCAGAGCAGGAGGGAGAGAGAGGAAGAAAAGGAGAGAGAGAGAAACATGGAGTGGCTGCCACCCGCACGACCCAACCAGAGCCGGGGTCAAACTGCAACCGAGGTACATGCCCTTAGTGGGAACCAAACCCAGGTCTCTCTGGACCTCAGGCCCACCATCTAACCGCTGAGCCAAACCAGCCAAGGCTAAATTTTTTTGTTTCTATAAATTTGAGATTACTTATTGCTAAAATTTCCCCTTATGCTACACAATAAATTTTTTTTTAAGTATTTAATTCCTAAAGGATCCATGGATAGAATTCAGAGAATTTGTGAATTTATATGGGGAAAAAATTACATCTTTATTTTCACTAACCTCTAACTGAAAGTTAGCATTTTTTTTTTAATGTAGCCCATAAACCACAATAATATTAGCAATATTTTATAACCAAAAGAAAACTCAGGTATTTTCATTTCACATAACAGTTTTTGCAGATATCTTCAAATATCATTTATACTCATCACTACTTCAAATTTATGATAGTTATTAACTCGTTATTTAGTTCATTTGTAAAGAAGCATGTACAATATATTACTATAGCACAAATGTAAATTTTAACGTTTTAATAACTGTATTTCAATATGATTAGTTTCCTTTGTAATCCTATGTATTTTATTTTATGCACTTAAGAACATTATTCTGCGGAGAACAGGCTTCATCAGACTGACAAAGGTAAAGAACCCATATTTTTGTTCCATTTGTTGTGCTTGAAAAATTGTGGGCAAAATAAAAACTAAAGAATAATCAACTAAATACTTTTTAACCATAGTGTTTCTTTATACTTTTGATGATAATTATATAGTATAACCATGTTTTTATAGTTAGCAATTCTTGTTCTTTAAAATGTGCTTTATGGAGAGGGAATAAGAGATAGTGAAATTAGCTTAAGTTCAGTTTAAGATATACTAATAACATCATCCCACACACATTTTATGTCATAGGCAAGAACTTATAAAACTTAAAATTCTTGCTGCCTTTTCAGAAGCCATCTACAAATCCATAGCAGTTGTGAGGAAGATAAATCTGAATTAGATAAAAATAAGTAATGGAATATTAAATATTAAAAGAAATTCAGTTTGGTTATTTAATTCAGGTTGACTTAATTATTTGCCCCAAAAAGGCCCTGGCCAAATTGCTAATGAGTAAGTGAAAATAATTGAATTAGTATATTAATTGTTGGCCATTACAATAATTCTTACAAAGTGTGTGACAGATTTTCTCTTAAGCATTTTTCTACTTCATTCATTTAAAAAATGTATTTAGTCCTTTTATGTGCATAGATACAATCTGAACCACATTAATAATTTAATAGTTTCTTCTACTGAACTTGCCATAGCCCATCATCAGCATCCCACAATTTACATTTGTTGTAGACCAACAAGAAAGACCAGACTCAGACTCTGTACTGGGTTTAAATTAAGAGAGCTTTATTAGCCCTGCGGCGACTGTCCCATCCTATGCAGAGGAGAGAGCAGCCCGAGCTCAGGGGGAGGGTTGCTTATATAGTTGTCTTAGCTCCTGTTAAGGAATTTGGGTAAAAGGTATGCATCCGAGCAAGCAAGCACGTACAGAAGCAGATATTTGCAGTTAGCTGTTATGCCTGAGGGAACAATCAGTTTTGGTGTACACAAAGCAATGGTTTTCTATACAATGCAGTGGTTATCTATACAATGCAGTGGTTATCTGTACAATGCAGTGGTTATCTATACAATGCAGTGGTTATCTATACAATGCAGTGGTTATCTATACAATGCAGTGGTTATCTATTAGCAGCTTGTTCTTGCCATTCCCTTAAAATCCAGGGGGTAAGGTCATGTATTTGTCCTTTACACATTCTCATGATAGACTATAATATTACCTAAGAATAAGAAAAGAATGGTATGTGGTAATGATACAAAGTTGAAAAGACAGATAATTATTAAGCATTTATATACCATCTGTAAACGAGGCGGAACGAGGTGGTGCAGGGTCTCCAGAAGTGCAGGTTTATTGGGAATTAGCCTGCCGGGCTACCTCTAAGGAGAGAGTAGCAACTGGCTTGTACAGACTACGGATTTTTAAACTCAAGGCTTGGTGGGGGGGTCGTTCAGTAGAGGAGATGTGGTCGTCTTTGATTGGTCGGGCCTGGGGTCTCCCAAGTTCTTGATTGGTCGGGGGCTGGGGTCTCCTGAAACTTGTTTTTCTTGTCGAGTGACGGAGTGACCGTTTGCAGTTTGGGGTGGGTTAGGGTGGTTCCATCATTCCATTCTGCTTGACTGGAGTGATGGGTTTTGGTTTTCCGGAATGAGAGGCTTGGGGCAGTAATATGGAAGTTAAGAGCTAACACCATCAATGTACAAAATGATATCAGGTGTACATAAAAAGACAAAGAGGCGAAATAAGATAATGACAAATTGTATTAGGTGGACTAATTCTCATACAGTTATATCTACAGTACATTATTAAGTTTCACTTAGCAAATTTTTTCAAGATCTGTAAAGTTAAAAAAGTAGAAGAGACAAATTATATATTTATATTGTTCGTGACACATTTATTTCCACTGGTTACAGCAGGTAAAATTAAGTGAAGAGAAAGTGTTTTATCTTTCTTGACTTGTTATATAATGGAGAGATCCTCTAGATTTCTGGGTAAGAGGCATAACTAGCAATCCCACAATGATTTCCACTGTTTCTTGCCATCCGAACATATCCTTGGTCACCAAAATAGAGGCCCCAGCTTTAGAAAAACAAATAACAGAAAATTACAAATGAATACCACATTATCAACTTTTTATCTCTTAGATTGTTTTTCTCATAAAGCAACTATAGATAAAAAGCTATAAAAAAAAAATTAGAACAGAATAATATAATAATTTCCCAAGGGCTTTTCGGCAATTTTCCAAGGAAGTTTGGAAAGCTTTAGAGCTATACAGGGTGTGGCAAAAGTAGGTTACAGTTGTGAATACATGAAACACAGAGTTTATTCTTGTATTATTATCTATTAATTATTGTATTATATTCCATATGACCAACTATAAACCTACTTCTGCCTCAACCTGTATTGATGAACAGGCTTAATATATAAAGAAACAATGTAAGGTCCATTCTAAATTTTAATTCTCCTACTTTGTAAATATGCCTTATATAGAGAAAGAGTGTTATTATTCTGTCCAAGGCCCCACCTCTAAATGCTTTTGTATAATAGGATCATAGGTGATGATTTTCAATCCAACTTAAATTCCTTTAGAGAAGGTCAATTAAGAAATATTTTTAGGCCCTGGCCAGTTTTGCTCAGCGGTTAGAGCTTCAGCATGTGGTCTAGGGAGACCTGGGTTCGGTTTCTGCCAAGGGCAAGTACCTTGGTTGCAGTTTGTCCCTGGCCCTGGTTGGGTGGTGCAGGAGGCAGCCACTCGATATGTCCCTTTCACGTCACTGTTTCTCTCTCTCTTTCCCTCCCACTCTATCTGAACAAAAAATGTAGAGGTGTCCTCGGGTGAGGATAAAAAAAAGCAAAAAAGAAAAATATTTGTAGCAACATCATCAATTGGTTGCCTCCCGCATAACCTCAACCAGGCCCTGGATTGAACCTGCAATCTAGTACGTGCCCTTGACTGGGAATCAAACCCAAAACCCTTTGGTCCTCTGCTGACACTCTAACCACTGAGCCAAACCAGCCAGGGCAGGCATTTCTTACTCTTTATTATGGGAATAAAATACCTATCTCATAGATTGCCTTTAAAATTAAACAAGAAATCTATTTAAAGTACTGATGTGTCTGTTCATAGTAAATGCTCAATAAGTGAAGGTTTTTATTATTATCCAAGTATGAGTCTGTCTGGTTGGACTCAAGTAGAATTCATCCTCCTTTTAAAAAATATAGCTTTTTTTTTTTTGGATGACCAACAGTCCCAGTTTTCCCAGGATTGTCCTGGTTTTAAAAATAAAGTTCTATGGACCAGGAAATCCCTTAAACTTAAAAAAGGGGTGGTTGATAACCTTTCCTTCTCTCTGTCTAGTATAGTCTACAAACTCATTAGACATTCCTTCTGAAATATATGCAGTTTCCTTGGTAATAAATTGCAGTCCTACACTTCTTAGGCTGTGCCAAACACTGTTCAAGTCATTGGGATTATGGAGGTTAACAAACTAGTCTTTTTAAAGCCTACATTCTGTTGGGAAACATACATAACAAAGAAGTACATAATATGATATAAGTATCATAAAGAAAAGTAAAGCAGGGTAAGGGGACAGGACGCAGTGTTGGGAGTCAGGGTTACATTTTAGATGGAATAGTAAGGGAATGCTTCTCTGAGGAAATGTTTGAGCAAAGACCTCAGTACAGTGACAGTGCGAGTGATGCAGAGACCTGGGGAAAACTTGGTGTGTCTCAGAAACAGCAACAAGGCTAGTGCATTAGCGCTGAGTGAGAGAGGGGAAAGTCACTGGAAAGATAGGCTGTGGCTAGATAAAGTCATGCTTTTATATGTCGTGGGTTTTATTCTGAGTATGAAGGAAAGCCATAAGAGGGTTTGGAGTAGGAGAGCAACATTACCTGCTTTATTATACTTTAAAAAGACCATTCTGGCTACTGAGTAACAGGATTGACTGTAAGCAAATAAGAGGGGAAGTGCTTACTAGTTGGGAAATTCTTGCAGTAGAGACAGATGGTGGCTTGAACTAGAGTAACAACAGAGGTATTGAAAAGTAGTAAGATTTGGAATAATTTAATGATGGTGGAAATGACAAGATTTGCTGGTGGCTTGATGTGGGGTATCCACTGAACAAAGAAAGGGTGGCTCTGATGTCTTGGCCTGGGGTAGATGCTGTTGGCATTTACTGAGATGGGGAAAATTGGGGTAGTAGCAGAGAGTCAAGAGTTCTGTTTTGGACATGTTAAGTTAAAGAGGCCTATAGATATGTAGGCGGAAAGGTCAAGTGATAAGATGTGGGACGTGAAGTCTTCAGCTCAGGGGAGAGGGGAGAGCTGAAGATAGAAAGTTGAGAGTCAGCACACAGATAGTGTTTAAAACCATGAGACTGAATGAGATTATCTAAGGAGTGGGCCTAGAGAGAGAGGGAAACTGAGGACTGGGGCATTCTAAAACTTAGAAGTGCGGGAGAATAAGAGGAACTAAGGAACTCAGGAGACTGAGAAGTAAAGTAGGAAGGAAACCAGGAGAATGAGGTTCCCTGAAAGTCAAAGTGTTTCAGAAAGGAGAAAGTAATTGTATGTCAAATGTTAACAGGGCAAGTAAGATGAGACCTGAAAACTGGTTAATGAGGCAGGATGGAGGTAATTGCTAATCTTGACAAGAGTATTACAGTGGAATAGTGAGAATAAATACACGATTTGAGTTATAATGTAATATGCATATCTTTCTGGAAAAATTTCTAAGAAAAATTATTTGATTATAACTTTTTCCTTTTTAACCATTTTTCAGACTGATTCCATGAAGAGGAGGAAGTGTGTATGAATTTAATATAGATGCCTATGAAGTCGAATATAGAACATATACCCTAACTCTACTTTAAGAGTCAGGATTTCTTAAAAGATCAGACAGTTTCAGTTAGGGAAAATGGAATAGGTTGTTTTTTTCAAGTTATATTTCATTTTTCCTTATCCTCACCTGAGAACATTTTTGCATTTATCCTCAGAGTGGGAGGGACAGAAGGGAAGGAGAGAGAGAGAAACATCAGTGTGAAAGAGACACATCGACTGGCTGCCACCCACACAACCCCAACCGGGGCCGGGGACAAACTGTAACTGAGGTACGTGCCCTTAGCGGGAACCAAACCCAGGACTCTCTGGTCCGCAGGCCGACGCTCTAACCACTCAGCGAAACCGGCCAGGGCTCAAGTTATATTTCAATAACTTAATCTATTGAGGGATGAGGATGAGGCATTTTTTCTTTTTTATATTAAAAATATCCAGAAATTTTTTATATTATTCCAGTTAATTACTCATAGAAGATTTGTGATACCCTTTTCTTATGCAGTTAAATAAGTAATAAGTAAATACTAAAAAGGACTAAACAACCAATCACATAACAAATTATTCTTCATGAAGGCTGAATTTACATATATACTTTGATTATGACCTTTCTTTCTTTTTTCTTTATTTCTTAAGATGCAGGAAAAAAGCATCTTGAAAAAGTTTTCATGAAAGGGCAAAACACCATTTACTTCTTAAGAAGCCAGAAGATGTTACTAATGCTCACCTGGCTACACACATTTCTTCCCTCATATATTGCTTCTATCAGCTGAAAATTTCATTCATTCAGGTTTGTTTTTCTAAAGAAACCTGGACATGTTTTGTAGATGTCTTCATCCATCCTACCTACGAACCTCAGCTTTACATTTTCCAAACTACTTTTTGACCAGCCCTCCATTTGTACTTCTGTTCTCGTTTGCTCTGGCAATGTCTCTGGTTTTTGCTCCAAAATTTGAAGCTCACAGCTAGAACTCTGCATTCTTTAAAAAGTCTTCAAATAAAGCTGTAGTAAGCTTCTCCTTTTCGAGTTTTCTCTAAATATGTTAATCTGGAGTTGGCAGTTTTTGTTTTTTTGTTGTTGTTTTTTTATCCTCACCGGAGGACATTTTTTTTTTTCCATTTTTTGTTCAGATAGAGTGGGAGGGAGAGAGAGGAAAGAGAGAGAGAGAGAAACATCGACATGAAAGGGACACATCAAGTGGCTGCCACCCGCACGACCAACCAGGGCCGGGGACAAACTGCAACCGAGGTACGTGCCTTTGGGGGAACCGAACCCAGGTCTCTGGACCACAGGCTGATGCTCTAACCACGAAGCCAAACCATCCAGGGTGGCAGTTTTTTTCTAAGTTCCTCATTTACTTTTAGATTAGCATGTTCCTGAAAGTAGATTTGACACAGTAAACATGTTACTTCTCCTTCGAGGCAAATTGCACTTGAGACAGTGGCATCACAAGATAGAAGGAACTCTGATCTGTAAACCAAACTCTGAATGTATCTCATTGGTTTTAGCACATATCTAAATATATACCTAAATTCACTTCTACAAACCACCTCTCGTTTGTTCCTCAGCTTTAAAGTGATGGGAGAAAGGAAAGGAGAAATAAGAACAGTTCAGAGAAGTCCCAAACAGGCCTCTAATTAGTCTTGAGGTAAACCTTTGTCTACTAATATGATGATTTAATCTCCATAAAATGTTCAAAGGAGCTTTTCAAAAAGCCTATTCTTATGGATAGTTTTTCTTTCCACAATCCTGCCTATTAATGCTGTTATATTGATTTATCCAGTTCCTTCCATCCACGGAGTTTCAAGTACTTCACAAATACTGTTGGGTGGTGTCTCCTTCCAGTTAGAGAAATTTGGGCCAAGAGACACTGTGAACCAAAAACAGTCAAACAGGATCTCTCTGCAGCATGGCTCAGTGTGCCTAAAGAAGCAGCGCATTCTTCACTGGAAGTTGCAAGTGTTAGAACTGCTGTGAGCCCACTCGGGGCGCTCCCTGGAGTTTCTCAGGCCCCACACACAGCCACAGCCAGAGTGTCAGGCAATCAGCCAACCGCGGCTCACTGGAAGCCTCCCGCCCTGGGCTCAAAGGCTGGAGGAGGTGCGCCCACCACAGACCAGTGTGAGACCCACGGGGACAGGGCAAGATGAGGCATTTCTATACCCCACTCACCAACTCCATCAACTTAACTCATTATCTAGTCGCCCATCTACCTGGAAACTGTTTATTTTAGAGAGTTCACCAG